ATATATCTATATATATATTGCTTATAACTTGCAATAATCGAGATAATAAAAAAAAGACGATTAATTTTCCAGTTAATATGCGAATTAATATATAAAACGTTTAATTCTTATAAGCTACACCATATATTTCATTTCGTACTTTTTTATGCAGAACAATAGGAAAGTTGTCATTTATTTTCTAATTTTTTAAGGATTATTTTATTGTTGACTTTGCAATGTATTTTTCTGATTGTTAATACAATTTTTGCCCTTACATGTCTGGCAATTTTAACTCTTTTAATAACAGAATTTAGTTAATAGGGTTTAAAAAGTAGAAGGAAAAGTATTAAGCGTGTGTATATATATATAATATATATGTATATATATATATATCCATCCTTGTGTAGTTATAAGACATTTTATAAAGTATTTTGTATTTATATTTCGTAAGGGTTAAAATTATTTTTAATCAAACTTTAGAATTTATTAAAATATAAATTTCGCTTTAACTAAAGAGATCTTTGCAAGAAAAGGAATAATCCGTTCATTTACTTAAGATAGTAACGTAGTGAACATCATAGTAAACAACGTTTGAATGTTGGGCATATAGTTTATTTAAAAATAGATAATTAAGAGTACTTACTGTTTATAAGATAATGCCAGATCAGTGAAATATTTTCGTCTTTGTCGGTAAACATTATCTTTGAAGCCCTGAAATATAAGAAATTATTAAATTTGAAAGAATTTTTAAGTTGAGTATTCTTCAGTACATTTTACTACTTCCCAATAAGTAATTATACCCTACCCTAATGTTTTTTAAGATTAAGTGCCTATGTTTGCCCGATATACCCTACACTGATGTTTTTTAATATAAAGTGCCTCTACTCGGAATACCCTGCACTGTTGTTTTTTGGTGTCACTGCTTGTTACACTCTACCGTGCTACATTACAATTGCGCCATCTATTGATCCGTAAAGTAACTACACTGGTAGAATGCATATTGTGACAATACCTTACTTTGCTTCAGAGTTTAAAGAAAATTACGTGCGCATAATCGGAAGATAAATTAAAAATGCGTTTAGGCACAGCAAAAAAAAATTTAAACAAAAAAAATTCGATGGATAATTGCGCATAGAAAATAAATTTAATCGGACATCAGGGCTGTTTGCGCCCCGGCAACGTGGAAAAGTTGGTAGTGAAATCATTCCAAATTTAGCTTTTTTTTCGAGAGAGATATAAAGAACCCTGACTAACAAGCAAGACTCATTAAAAATTACGACGTACATACAAGACAGTTTCCCGCATTGGAAAATATTATCTTTTTGTAGCAATGCCGAAATATTTTATTTTTCCTGTTACACCAATCTGCATTCCAGTTACTTTAATGTCCAGTTACTTTAATAGCCGCACTTTAATGTTAAAATTTTCAAGATGGATAGGAAAAGGGCAGCAAAAGGTGCCCGGAAAAATGTTAATGATGGTGGTGGTAGAAAATAATTGTTGATAAGTCTAGTTAATTATTCCTAGAGAAAACAAGATTTCCAGGGTGCAAACAGACCTATAATAATTGTTTAATATAGGAAGTAATGAACAATTTTAAATTTTAGTTGCTTTTTTTTAAAAAAAAGTTCAAAACCTACAAATTTTTAACTATTATATTAAAAGTACTTTGTTGTAATAACAATCTCTGAGGCAGATTGAAAATTAAGAATTTTTTCAGTACTTTATTTATTCAAAGATCATAAAGCAACGAAAAATGTGGCTTTTATTTGCTTTATTTATAGTATAAGTTTATATTATATATAAGTTAAAAACATAGGGAAAACATGGAAAAAATTAAAGATTAATAAAAAGAGAAGAAAAAAATTAAATAAAATATTTAAAGAAATAAACAAAAATTAAAAATAATATTAAAAAGCCGGGAAAAAATGAAAAGATATAATCTCTTCATCAGCTCACACGATTATATCGGCAAAAAGGAGTGCTTTCTGATATTGTATCAATATAGCCGAATCAAATTATATCATTACATCAGTGTTAGGAGCACTTAAAAAAGAACACGTTAAGTAAAAAATATGTAACGTGAAAAACGGAAAATAAAATGCAAAGAAAAAACAGAACAAAATACATAACAATATCTGCAATCTACTTACAAGCACGGGAAACTGTCAAGAATTATTTAAAATAGATTATTGCCAGATTACAGATAAAAACAGAAGCGCAAATAGAGCTAAAAGCGTAAATAGAGGGATTTTTGTTTTATTTCATGTTCTTACTGCAGTACTGAAGCACGTTGGACTAATTAGTAATCAAGGATTGGCCCGAAAATGGATGTGCGCAAAGATGTAAACAAGTAATATTATACTGGATAATTTAAAGAAGTTTATAATTAATAAGGTTGATATTTAATTATACAATTTAAAAGAGAGAGAGAGAAGCATGATTTGCCCATTTTGCACAAATTTTTAGCCCCGGATTCGCCCGAGTTGGATTTGCACATGCTAAAAATATGAATTAACAAGAAAGTTTTTAGTAAATTTATAATAATAACATGCAATTAACTCAATGATTTTATATGAAATTTAATTACTTTAGTTGGGTATCCATTGTTTTTAATCAAAAATTTTGAAAGAGTTTGTCGAACTGTTTTTTTTTTTAATAAATAAACATTAGTAGATAAAATGTACGAATAGATAATTAGTAGATAAAATGTACGAATTGTTCTCTATATTGTACGCTGAGTAGGCGAGGGTTAAACGTAAACTCAGAAATGTAGTACTTGCATTACCGGATGATCAGCATCCAGTTCAGCTCCATACATCAGAACTCTATTTGCAGTTTTGTCCAAATCAGTTATCTTTCTTGGAAACCAAGGCATACCATCAAAAGCTGCAAAATAAAAACAAGTAATTGGGATTCTATTTTAACAGCATTCTATGAGAATAAAACAATACTAACTAATAATTCAAGAATGAAGCTCATCGAGCAAGGCCTGGAGCTCTCTGATATCCGTGGTAATCTTAATATCAGTGGTACCGAATTTGATTTTCTGTTTGTCACTATTATGCTTCTAGTTTTTTCGTTACTGCCTGCATAATAAACATTCTTTACTATCCGCTCAAAAACTCAAAATTCTTCTTCAACTATTGTTGCATTTTTCGTATTCATGTCAGATTTTTTTTTCTTCATCTGGCATGGTGATAAAAGTTTTAGGAAATCAATTTTTTTAATAAAAAAAAAAATTATAGCTTAACTTTAACATCGAGGAATAGTTTTCTAGAAGGAAAAAAAATCTTAAGAGTTGTCAGGTGTGCATTCAAGTAATGATATTGAAACTAATTGTAGTTTTTTTTATTCCAGTCGCACATCAAAATGCGCCTTTAAGAAAGTGGACACAGCTTGAAATGTATGTGTGAGAAAATGAACACAGCTCAAAATGTGCGTTTAAGAAATAGACACAGCTCGAAATGAGCGCCTAAGAAAATGGACACAGATTGAAATGCATGGGTGAGAAAATGGACACAACTTGATATGTGTATTTAAGAAATGGACACAGATCGAAACGCGTGTTTAAGATAATGGACATAGCTCGAAATATGTGTTTAAAAAATGGACACAACTCAAAATGCATGAGCGAGAAAAATGGACGCAACTCGAAATGCGAGTTTTAGAAAATGGATACAGCCTGAAATGCATGGGTGAGAAAATGGACACAGCTCAAAATGCATGTTTAAGAAGATGGGACATAGTATACGATTCCGTTTTTCCAACATCACTCATGAATATTACCTTTTTTAAGAATTAAATTTGTTATGTGGTGCAATTTATTTGCATAAGCAGATTGCGTTAATCAGGTTAATAGATTGCAAGCTTAATACATTAAAAAAAAATTTTAAGTCAATAGCTTTTTTTACTAGATTGTCACAGATGGCAATAAATTCATGTTGTAAGGATTCAAATTTGTAGCGAACCACTTTACTGATTAGAGTTGTGAATACGAAGAGATAGCCTGAAAATTTGCATTCGCAATATACCCAGAATCCGGGACTTTGCCCCGTAATGATTTTGCTCAATGTTTAGAAGGATAATTAAACGTAAGTACGAAATGCAGGGCTCGAAGAAAGTCAGAAATTTTACCCGTCCCCGAGGACGGCTTGTCCAACAATGTACCCGTCCTCCTATGAAACTAACCCGTAGCTTCTAAATAAATAAAAATATAATTCTCTCTTATTTATTACAAACATTTATATAGATTGCACAATGAATTACTAGTTACTAGGATTACAAATACTAGGTTACTAATAGTAAAACCTAGCATTTCTATTATAAAATAATTTAAATGACAAAGGTCAAGTTATTTGAAATGTCAATTTATCCGAGGGTACTTCGTTTTTAAATGAAGCAAATATGACGTTAGCTAGTTCCACAATCAAGTCAATGATTTACAGAGGTTTCTGCACAGAAATATGAAAGGGGTTTTCCATTTAGGTGGATGTTCATAATTGCGTTTAGCGCTTCTTGTTTAAGACCAGTACGTAATGCGTTTTTTTTTTGTAAGCTCATTGCTGAAAAGCCTCTTTCAACCACTGTAGTACTCCCAGACAGAGAAAACATCAATTCCAAAGAGCGCAGTATGTTGCTGTATTTCTAGATTAGAGAGTCATTTTAGAAGTGAGGCGCTAGACTCTTGTAAGATAACAAAAATAGAAAATCTATCACGAATATTAACGGGAAAATGGCCGTCCGCGCGGACGTCGGATTCGAGAAATTTGTTGTCCGCAGGGAATTTTTGACCGCCGAGGACGGGCGGACGGGTGGTTTTTCGAGCCCTTGCGAAATGTCTTGTTTAGTTGTTAAATGAGGGTTGAACATTGAAAAGGCTCCTTTTTAGCCATGTCCGTTTTCTTCTAAACGCATGTCCTCAATCTCAAATACACATTTTGAGCTGTGTTTATTGTCTCATATACGCATTTTTAGCTACATTCTATTCTCTTAACCCTTTCGGGACGGGCGAGTCATTAATGTATTCGTAAGGAATCAGTATGGTAAAAAATAAAAAGCGGTAGCTTAGGTTTGGGCATAGCTAATTTGCCAGATTTATTTTTGCTTTCACTTTAAATCTAACGCATCCAATCCATGTGTGATAAAAGTGTAACTATACAATTTTTAATTCGAACTAAGTAGTGGTGAATTAAATAAAGCAAACTATCATAACCCCGCCCACAAATAAACTGCTAAAGAACTACTTTGGTTACCAGTTTTATCTTTTTACCCTGATTGATACGGTTTCATGTTGGCACGTATTTGTGACAGTCGGCGCGAAAGGGTTAAATATGCAATTTGAGCTATGTCTTTTTTCTTAAACACACACTTTGAGTTGTGTCCATAATAAAAAGCTCATTGACGATATTCACTTGCTCAACTGCTGATATAAGGATGCAATTATATCAAGTTTTAGAAAAACTTACCTAATTCAAAACCAGGACTTGTGGGTGTAGGGGGTGGCATATCATTTAAGTCAACTTCTCCTTTTTCATACTGCTCCAGGGAGACACATTCTACCTCGTGCTCTAGATTGTGTACTAGATCTTTTATTTGAGAGGATTCGCACTGAACGTCAACAAATATCTCGTACTGCGAAGGTCTCTTGCGGGACTTCCTGGATTCAATGTGCACGACGTTCACGTTCTTTTCCTAGAAACACAATAAAAACATGGATGAATTTGCCAGTACAGAAATCAGTATAAATAAAAGCTCATACCCTCCAACATTTGAGGTTTGTGCAAATTAGTTTTTATAAAGGAAGAGAGCTAAGGCAGAAACCTTTAAAACAAAAAGAATTTTCAAAGAACTTTATCGAACCATCCATTAATTCTAATTATTGTCTACGTCAGCCGCCAAAGGCAGCTCAAACAAATTCATTGGTGGTTAGTCAATTAATATCTAAATTGTCACACAAAATTTACTTTGTTGGAAAAGGAGGTTGTTGACTGCAAATTCTTCGTGTCATGTTGGCGTCTTTAATGCTTGTAGATGGCACAGAAGACAGCGGTCGATAGAAAGAAGGATTGGATTATATTTGGCTGTTGTGACGATAAGTTCTTGTCGAAATATGGTGTTGAAGTTAGCAGTTTTGCAGTACATAGCTTTGCTGTTAAATTATGTATTCAGTTTTTCAATGCTTTCGAGACAACGTGAAGACGGAGTTGTCTTCATATCAACTTCGTTTCTCTAGTTTCAAATCTTTGTATATACTTTAGTTGGTCATGTTTCCCGTGCGCTAAGTTCTTTTTTGTTTTGTTTGGCGAGATATCACTTTAGTACATGATGACCATTAATCAGTCTAACTATTTATATATTTGTTTAAATTATTTGTATGTAATGGGGAACACATTTCTTTTAATTCTAATTTATTAAAATATTTTTACATAATCTTCACTACTACGAGAAGAAATATTTTTTAAAACTACAAAAATTCCGTAGTAGTTAGAGGTTATGCAAAAGCCAGAACACGATCCAGTTAATTTTTGATTAAAAAGTCACTGCTAGCCATGGTCCCAGAGAGAGAGAGAAAGCAGGTTGCAAAACCATTTCATACTTAACTTGTTTTCGGTACAAATAGTGAATCATGGCTTTCCCAAGATTTAGTAAAAGTAATAACGAATATATAATACTGTTTTCAATTTTGGGAAAATAGTTTTTATTAAGTCTTAGTAATCATTGTCATTTATTCCTTGCGAAACGAAGCTAGAAGTAAAATAGTTTTACTGCGATTTCCCCCTCCCCTTTTTCTAAGCCAACTGTCCTGACTAGTTGATTTTTATATATCCTACGCGGCTATATTTGTTTATATAAAAATATATCGAAATTTTTAATCGAAACATGAAAGTAAAGGAAGGTATGAACTCAAATTTTCTTTTAAAATTTTGCAAAAACATGTGTCAAAAATATAGCAGAAACATATCTTTTTGACTAATTACTATCTACTAACATGTTTAAAAAAATTTAAATAATTATATTTAAAAAGACACTTACATAGTTCAAGATTAAAGTTGGGCAAAAACCGTTTAAATTTCCTGTAGCTTCATGAAACATTTGTCACCACTTTTTAATTTCTCTCGGTTACGGTTACCCTCATTTAGGTCCCTGGTACATAACATCAGATTCGAATAACAGCTTCCCATTTGGTTATGAAAAATCTAATGATGGTACAAACTTCGATCATTTAATCTGTATATTTATTTCTCTTACATGGTACCAAAAACGCGGGAACTAAATTGGCAACATTATAGTCATGTTTAATAATTCATTTTGTTAGGTTGTCTTAAGTAATAATCTAACTAGTGTTAACCGATTACCCGCCAAATTCATTCATTCATTCATTATAATGTTATGATAAGGCCGGGATAGCCTGGTTGGTAGGGCACTGGGCCCATGTCCAAGAGGTTGTAGGTACGATCCCTGCCTGCCGAAGACTCCCCGTGTAGTAAATGGTGACTGATGCAAGTTAAATCTGTCGAGTCTCAAAGTCCTCCATGTTCCCATAACAAATCAATACCTCTGGGGGTACAGAATTGGAGATTGATCTTCTCTGATTCAGGTCAAAATTACGATCTGTGGATGAATGAATGGGTGTATGAATGGGTTATGCCTTATAAACGGGTGTGACGTATGGGTGTGGCAGAAGTCAAATTCTTGGTCATAGATGGCGCCACTGAAAATCAAGAACAATCGCATCCCCTCTGCCTAAAACAGCATACGTCAATAATGTTATGATAAGAGAAGCACCTTAATTTAATTTAGAAGCATATTTGCAACCAAATAAACTAAATGTATTCGTTCAACAGTTCCAACAATTCCAACTATTCGTTTAGTATATAGCCAACAATTTGACTATTGCCAACAATTCTTTTAAAATTGTAACAAGGACAAGATTTTAGAACCAAATATAGATTTTAACAATATTAAGCCTTTTTCTAGTTAGATGAAGTCTTTATTCAGAACTATTCAGTAATATTAAGTCCTTATCTTTTTGAAAAAGGGACACGTTCCAAAAATGGAACATTTATCTTTAGCCGGTTAAATAAATAGTTATACGTTAAGTATTTGAACAGATTAATTTCTTAAGGTTGTCTTAAGTCGCAATGTAAGTAATGTTAAATAATTGGATACTAGCACTTCAACAATAAGAAGAAGATCACAAATATCCACACATGTGACCTATGACGTCAGCGCCAACTGATAGTTTATAAGCAAAATGGGGTGTTAAAGTTGAGCTAAGTTTCTTCAAATAAGTTAGAATGTTAATTAACATGAAGGTACTTAAATACAGCGCCATATCGCAGATCGAATTTATTGAAACATAATTCTTTCTCGTCTACGTCTTTAAACTGGTTAGTTATATATTGAGTAATTATCTAGAATAATTTTGTATTTCTGTAGAAATAAAAACTTAGTTACGAAGTAATTATTTAGATTTATTTTTGATCCTTTCTAAAATGGCTCTAGAAATTTTAAACATAAACGGTACCCTGGTACTACATACTGTCATACCGATTATTGTTGTTGAAACTTGTTTTTTTAGATCATTATTCAATATATTATACGATACTCGAGTTATGACTCAAGAGGTGTGTGAGGAAGTAGTGCAGCAAGTAAAGAAGTATTGCGATTAGATTTTTATCTTATATCACGACAGAGATGGAAATAATTTTAACATTTCTACTTTTTTTGTCGTTTGCCTGTTTAGGCAGTGTAGGTGCGATTGTTCCTGTTTTTCAGTGATGCAATTTATGGCCAGGAATTCGACTTCTACCACGCCATTCACACAACCACAACCCGTTTATAGGGTGGGTCACATTCACACACATGCACACACAAAGGAGAAAGGACATAGAACACACACAGAGAGAGAAAGAAACATCCATGCCTTGCCCGGGATTCGAACCCAGGACCTTTCTGATGCAAGGACAGTTCCCTGTCCCCTACACAGGCCGGTCGGCAATATTTCTGCTGTCTGCTATGATAAAATATCCCGAACTCATACTTACGGTGGATATTTGATTTAATGGCTGCAAAAAATTTTAAATTATTACTGAAACTCAATACATATAGAACCTTGGCAATATCGTGCTCATCTCTTAAAAACCGCTAACATTTAAATTAAAGAATTTCCGCACTAGCAACAACTAGTATATTTGAGATCTTGATCATTTGATACATTTTTAACATTTTTAAGCAACAAACAACAATAAAACATACTTCAATATGAATGAAGCTTACCTGAAATACTCGTAAAGCTCGGATTAGACCACCCACTTGATTTCTCAAAGAAAAAATAACTGCAGCACCCTTGCTATCTTCATCTTCTTCCTGAAGTTTGTCTTTATTCTCACATTGCTCCGTCTTCACTTCCTCCTCAACTGTTTGCCTTTCAAACCGTTTGCAGATTTTCTTCTGGAAAAAAAAATTAAATTTACGAAGATATTCAGATAAAATTGTAGTAATATCCAGACAACTGAAGCAATAACTCTAAATAATAAAAGGTATGCAAAAAAGGTATTAAATTTTTTTTTACAGAAATTATATTTTTTGAAAACATATAAATAAAAGTACAAAATATGTGTATTGAATTTCAATATTGAAAATTAAACACATTTATTTTACTTCTCTTGATAATTCCTTAAAATTTGGTGAAGAATTGATAACAGCACTTCTCAGTAATTCTTTGAGATGCTGGCTAGTTAAAACTGATGGGTGCTTGGATTTCACGAATTTTAAAGTGGAATAAAGTGATTCACATTAGTACGTTGTTCCGAATATTGAAATAATTCGACAAGCAGCCTTTTTTAATTCAGAATACTTCGATTCTGGTACAAATTTCCAAAATTCTGTAATTATTGGTAGATTATGTTAATCGATCTGGAGTCGGTCAATTACGACACTGTTTATGTTCGTTCACGCAGTTTTCGATTAATCATATCATTCTTAACTAGGACGGAAAGGAAATTTGTTACAACGTTGCACTTAGTCTTCATATTTTTTGTCAGTAATTTAAAAGACATTTTGAAACACATACGGAACGATAATAATTTTTAAAAATATAATACCACAAAAATGAAAAGGGAACTCGGGTACCAAGGGCGCCGGCAGAATAATATAAAAGGGGTTGCAACCCTCAAACAAACTACCGCCCCCCAATTTTTTTAAAATACTTTTTTATAACATTTTGTTTTGTTATTCCATATACTTTCATCTGTTAATTTTTTTCAAGATAAATTTCCTCATTGTTAACAAGATATTTAAAAAACGTACAAATTTCTTGCACTTGCAAATTTTGCCACGAGAAACTGTATTGATGGCGCTGGCATTGAAACACAAATAACTACAAACTGTAGTTTCGTATACTAACGTGTTTGTGCACGCTTAACATTGGTATTTATTGTGTTGATGAAGTTTTACAGTTGTGAGATGTCAGTTTGTGTTATACATCTTTCCTAAACAAAATAAATAGTAGAAATTATAATATTATTTATATTTTATGAAATGAAATTTCAAAATATAGCTTAGATATCTGCCAAGTTTGTGCGTAAGAAATGAATAAAATATGACTCAGAATTCATTGAAAAAGTTATAAACAGATATATAGAACAGCAAACAGCAAACAAGAGCAAACAACAACAGCAAACAAGACGATTACAATTCTTGTTTGATTAAGCAATTTTTTAATTGTTATGTATCAATAATTACTTAATTATTTGTTTTTGAACAAAAGTATTCATAATAAAAAAATTTTATGACAAAATTGTTTTTCTGTATCTCTAATTGCTTAAAAAAAAGCCAGGGGGTGCAAGTGCACCCCCCTGCCGGCGCCCTTGTCTGGTACATTTATCGAGAGTCACAAATAATCCTTCAAGGAGCCGCAGGTCCTCCCCCCTTCCCTGACACTAGACAATATTCCTTTAGACAGGAGAATAATTTCAAGAGATGAGGTAAATTTTAGTCTGCTGAAAAATTCTGTTCTAAAGAGTACTCGCACATTTTGGAGTGATGGATAGGTCAGTTTATAAGACACTTGTTTATAGGGCGGCCTGACAGATATCGTATTTAGTTTTAAAAAAATTGCATTAATTTCATCCTTATCTTATAAAAAAAGTCTTTCACATTTTGAGAACATGTATTTCTTTAAAAAAAAAAGATAAAGAGTTGTACCTCAATTGTTTCATTCTTTGGAATGTTAAGACGCTCATGTCAACTGTGATACATGATTAACATATGTTTCTTAAAATCGATCTCAATTAATTATTTTTTGATGAGCTAAAAAAAGTTATTAAGACACTTTTTTTAAACTAAATGCGGTAGCTAAAATAGAAATTATCAACTTTGTTTGCATACAAATGATGACCACTTTTTTTAAAGCAGTTTTCTTGTCTGTAAGAAATGTTGCATTTGTCAGGAGGCGTAAAAGTTGGCGGCTATGGCAGCTAAAGTTTGTAGACGGTCTTCGGCTTTAAACAAAATAAAACTTCTATTTTCGAAATAGCTTTATAGGAAAGTATCCTTTTTTGGTATTATACATTACAAAATTTCAAAAATAGCATTGCTAACAGCAATATGGTTGGGGATCTTTGATAGTACAAGTTATATTTATTTTTGAAGAAGACAGCCAAACATCGCTTTTCAATTGTCCATCCAATTATTATAAGCATAACACAACAAATATTCTTTAACATGATGCTAGCCAGCAAAAGTTTCTACACAGGCTTCGACTTGAAACAAAATAAAATTTCGCTATCATTTTTTATGTTTTAAATTACAGAGTTTCAAAGCTCGCAGTGTAGCCTCCAATGTGGCTGGTAACCTTTGACAGCACAGGCTATATTTATTTTTGAAGTAGACAGACAAAGGTCTCTCATTAAATCGGACACTAGACTGGAAGAAAAGCCACACTAGTTTCCTTTGATAAGCTTCAGGCAGACATTAAAGTAGGTAGATAGTGGGGAAATTCTTCTCGAAACTGAACGTCCCATGAATAACAGAAGATAAAATTCATGAAGATGCCGTAAGGAAAGGAAAAGGATATTTCGATGATGCATCACCCATCGTTTATTCCATAAAAGCTTATTTTTAAGAATGAATTCAATTTAAAATAGAAGAGTCTATTGTTTAACCTTTAAAATTTTTCTGGCAGCTTCGATTTCTAAAAAAGAAAATATTTTACGGAAGACAACTATAAATTATTATGACATAAGTATTAAAATTATAGAAAGATTATAGTAGCATCGTTATACAACTGTAAATGGCAATGCATAGTATACCAACTGGTTTAGCACAATTCTTAAAAACTTAAAAAGTTGTAATAAAAATATGGCGAAAGCTTTTGTTTTAAGATTGTATGATCATAATATTTTAACTTTTTTGTTGCTTATATCGACATCTATTTATAATGTAATTTCATTATATCCAGAAAAGCGGCAGTAACTTTTTGATTAAGTGTAACAATTTTCATTTTATTTATAACTTCTAATTTAAAATAGTTATATTAACCAAAGTTGCCAACCCGGAAGTTCATGCTGTGGTGGTTCAGGGGATAGAGCGTTCGCCGCCCAATGAGGTGAACCGGGTTCGAATCCCAGAGATGGTTGGTCAATACGAATTCCGCATTTGGCTCGCACCGACCCCAGTGCTGAAGTAAAATATCCTCAGTGGTAGACGTATCACGGGTTAGAATACCCTGTCCGTCATGCTAACCATGGGAGGTTTTCGTGGTTTTCCTCTCCTTGTAACACAAATGTTGGTTGGTTCCATCAAAAAGTCCTCTATGAAGGGAAATTTCTCCCTATACTTGGTTCAAAAGTTCCCTTGTCTTCTGGATTGGGTTCAAAATTACAAGGTTACGGAGTTGAACATTGGTAGTCGTAAGCTCGAAATTGGGTCTTCTGTTAAGCGACGGTTATAAAATAAAACAAAATAAAACTAGGAAGTTCCAGATCTCCAGTGTTGATAGTCAGTGTATGGAAACGCTTGATTTATTAATTTCAGATGTAGAATTTTATTTCAAGATTGTAGTTGTAGAAGTTGAATAATTGAATCTACAGTTGAATCTGCTGTCATGATTGAGATATGACAGTTGAAAGCTATTATTTATTTTGATGGTTGTGATATGAGGCGTCGGAGATGAAGTAAGCGGCTATTGATCTGTATTTTGTGTCTTATTTTATAACTTTCAAAATTGAATATTTGGTTTAAATTAGCTTTATTATATTTTTTGGTCCTGTCAAATGTGATACGAGTATATTTTTACTAAAAAAAGTGCTGAAAGAATCCTTTAGAAAAAAGTGGTATGGAATTAGCTGTAAAACAAAGTTGATAATTTCTATTTTTAATGTGGCTACCACTCTAGTTTTAAAAAAAATTTTGCATGTGTATATTTTTCGGACAAAATATTACTACTTATATTATAAATATATTTATTGAACACGAATGTCCATATGTTATCAAATTAAATTTAAAAGATAATATAGTTGAGTTACCAGATTTTATCTTTATGAAAAAAAAGTATACGAGAGAGAACGCTAGTTGGGGCGAAACCAACATTGTTACATAATTCAAAATGTTTTATTCACTGTATATAATTTTCATGATGAATAGGGTAAGGGCCGCTGCGAGGCCTAGGCACCCAGTTTTGTTTAAATAAAGAAAGAAAGAAAGGGGCGAAACCAAAATAATTAAACTTAATTTACGTGATCTAAAACATTGCTTTTAGCATGCTTTCTATGATTCAATTCTAAATATTAAAAAAAATAAATAAATAAAAAATAGAAAAAAAAACAAAAACAATTGCTTAAAAAATACTAAGAAGCTCCGCTCACCAACCCCCGTGGTAGCTCAGCATTTTTTCCCCCCCTTAAACGTTGATAAAGAAAAGAGTGTTTTGTTTGTAAAATTCAAATAAATATACTATTCCGTAAGCGTATTTCATTAACATGTAAAACGTAATTGAATGAACGAATGCTTGGATTTGAAAAGTAATCAATGATACTTATAAAAATAATTAAGAATGTGCAACAGAATAAGAAGGAATACGGAATGTGCAACAGAATAAGAAGGAATGCGGAACGTGAGACAGAATAAGAAGGAATACGGAATGTGCGACAGAATAAGAAGGAATACGGAATGTGCAACAGAATAAAAAGGAATACGGAATGTGTGACAGAATATGCAGTAATAAATGAGAAGTAATTTTACTTGTGAACAATATACTATAACCATAACCTTATGTAATATAACAGTTCGCATTGGAAACAGTTTTTATCTCTCTTCAGTCTTAGTATTTTGAAAAATTTTGATACAAAAATTAAGATTTTTAAATGGCAGCATACAAATTCATTCTCTCTCTTATTTTTTTTGTTAATTCACTTTTTTTGTTAGTTTTTGCACCAATTTAAGCAATTTCA